AGAGAGAGAGAGAGAGAGAGAGAGAGAGAGAGAGAGAGAGAGAGAGAGAGACAGACAGACAGACAGACAGTCAGATAGACAGACAGACAGACAGACAGACAAACAGATAGAGATCTATTTTTGTGTGTGTGAGCAAGTTTAGTTTTAGTAAGAGTTTTACGGCACTCGCAACTGCATAAGGTCATATGAGCGCCAGAAGATTAGAGGTGTTACAGGAGAGTAACAAACATAAAAAGGGGAGTTAAGGACGATAGATGTTTGATAGGAAAAGAAGGAGCAAACCACACTAGAGCACCCGCCAACCACCCACTGTGTGTGAGCGTGTGTTTAGTTGTGGGGGAGTGTGCATGTGAGTGTGCGTTTGTGTGTGTACGTGTCTTTCTGTATGTGTGTGTGTGTGTGTGTGTGTGTGTGTGTATGTGTGTGTGTCTGTGTGTATCATGCGTGTGTGTATTGTGCAGTGTCGTTCCAAGGTCAGGTCGTGGCCAGTCAAGGTCAGGTAGCCACTCGTAACGCTTCAATACTTTAGGTCAGACACCCTTCACCAGACTGACCTTGACCTTGTAGGAGAGCAGACTTTTAGAGCTATTAGACAGTGTTCTGCCAGTGTGTTTGTGGGGGATGGCAACAATAACAACAACAACAACAGCAACGCCACACACACACAAGCCCGCACACACACACACACACACACACACACACACACACACACACACACACACACACACACACGCCCGCGCGTGTAGATAATAATATACAGCCCTAAGACATGAGGATGATTTCATAACATGCATTCTGTTATTATATACACTTTATAATATAGAGACATTCGACAGGATAAAGTAGGGTAGCTTTTTGAGAGCATTATATTATCCAAATAAAGGAAATTATATGATGAGAACCATGATTCTCAATGTCTGTCGCAGATATGGCACCTAAGATGATGTGACGAGTGGTGGCAGTGGGATGAGGAGGAGGAGGAGGAGGAGGAGAAGAAGAAGTAGGAGGGGGGGGGGAGAAGAGGAAGGATCAAAGGAGGAAGATCCCGGAGAAGGGGGAGTATAAGGAGGAGGAGGAGGAGGAGGAGGAGGAAGAAGAAGAAAAGGAGGGATAGAAGGAGTCATGATCGTGTTGACTGCATTGAGGGAGAGAGGAGAGGGCGGTCGCGGAGGATCGACGAAACGAAAAGCTTACCTGTAGGCCCACAAAGGAACTTGTGACTTTGTGTGCAGGTTTAGCTTGGTCCGTGGTGCACATTACACACGAAGCATGTCGTATAGGAAGGGTCTTTGACGACGATCGAACTGTACCAGACACAGACGAGGAGAAAGATCGACCCGTCGTTGATGTCACGAAGGCAGTTGCCATAGGTGAGAAATTAGACCCATGGGCAGCAAATGCTCGCATCGTTGAGGGAAGAGACAACATCATAGTAAGTTTTTTGTTGTTTTTCTGATTGATCAGTTTGTTAAATTGCCTCCCGTACTTACTCCAAACTGAAATATATTGTTCAAAGTCAAGATCTTTTCGAGCTAGATCTAGATCTAGATCTAGATCAGGATCTAAATGTCTGACAATTTCGGATACGACTTCAACAATCTTAAGCGAGCGCACAAACAAACCAACACGGAAGACCACTGATTCTTGACCGAAGAGCTTCAAGAAAACTTAATTCTGAAACGTTGGGGCCTTTTCTACTCACTGCATAAGTGAATACCACAACCACACGCGAATAGTATAATATAGGCCTTGGTCCTTATCTTCGTTCACGTTGAGTTTTCTGGCTTTCCAGAGCAATGCTTGTAAATATAATGTAATTGCTTGCACTCGTTCAATCGAAATGTTCCAGGCTACCGATTGCAGAAGGTCAGTAACGAACGACTGAAGAAATCCCAGCTGAGCGGTGATATAAATAACCGCTCGGAAAACGGTGTCAGGTCACCTGACATGCGCAGTGCGAGCATGTTGTCAGATAACTGCATAAAAAATGCGGAGACGGTTGAATGGTTTTGGTTCGGGTGCATATCGTTTATTTTCCCTTCTACTACCTAAAAGAATTGTAACAGTATTTACTTTGCAATACGCTACAGTTTGCAGGCGTATCTTTTAATCTGAATCAGGAATAAAGCTGCTAGCGAAGAAGGTAAACAGCAGTCTATTTATAAACGGAATAATGCAAACTCAGTGACCTCTTTCATCAGCGCGGTAGCTGTGATGCAATGACGCAATGTCATTTCCTTGTTGCGGAAGGGGGGGGG